AGTTTCAAATTCTTTGGTAAAGTACTTGTTATGTCCATTAATCTGTTTTTTAGTGCATTTAATTGCCTGAATCTATTTTCTCTCATCTCATTATTATCAGAACTACAATCTTGAATTCTTTGTCATTTATATTCATGTGTTCCAGTTTGCTTTCTGGATATTTTTCATTTTTTTCTGAGCTGCCTTGCTACCTTGGTTATTTATGGTATTTGATGGGCTCCTTTTCTGTGTAGGCATCTATACATTGGCACTTCTCTAGCACATTTCTATAAAGCGGTCTTTCTACCATTTTCCAGTAGGTGGCACTGAATCACAAGATTTTAGCCATGTAAAATCCCAAAGCTGACCTGACAGGCAGCCATCAGTATAGCCATGCTGCTTGGGGGTGGGGTTTCTTTCATCCTCTATCAGTGGTTCTCAACCTTCCTAATGCTGCGACCCTTTAATACAGTTCCTCATGTTGTGGTGACCCCCCATTTCATTGTGACAAATTGAACATAATTAAAGCATAGTGATTAATCACAAAACCAATATGTAATTATATATGTGTTTTCCGATGGTCTTAGGTGACCCCTGTGAAATGATCATTCGACCCCCAAAGGGGTTGCGACTCACAGGTTGAGAACCTCTGCTCTAGGTAATGACAACCTCACACTTCCACTTGGGTACTCCTCATTTGTCCAACCGGGGATCCATCATAGAGAGAAATAGCTCTTCTGTAGTAATTGTTCTTGGTTTTCAGATAATGTGCTCTATACCTCATCACCATGGGCCATAGGAGGAAAGTTTTGTGAGTCTGAGATATAGCAGCACTCTATGTCACCATTTCTTTGTCTGCAACACTGACTGCCTGACAGCGGGTAGATGCAGCAGAACCCCTGTACTGTGTCCTTGCCTCAGTCTCTCAGCTGCAGTGCCCACAGAAACTCTGTTCCTTCCAGCAGTAGGAAGTGCCTGCTACTGCCTGTTTCCTCCTCTCTCTGCATGGAGTCTGCCGTGAACTCTTGGCTGTAGGTCTGCATCCATGGCCAGTCTGAGCTCTTCTCCCTTCTAGCCTCCCCTGTTTGTTCCCATTTGCCCAACTTTAGATGCTTCAATGTGTAGATCTTTCAGGCATGCCTGTATGTTGAGCAGGGAATTCTGTGTTAAGTTATAGTTGATCAACTTGTTTAAATTTCAGGGGGAGAGACCAAGGGGATCTCTCACACCACCATTCCTCTGATGTCATGATGTTAATAATTGTAAGAGAGGTAGAAAACACAACTATACAGAATAACAAATATGGTGAAATTATATTTTATCAGAAAATTTTAAAAAAGCAATCATCAGTGTCTATTTATAGACCCATTTGCAAATAAATTTGCAAACTTAGGTAAAGATGGTAATACAGATTACCAATATTGCACTGAGAAGGGCATCAAAATCCATGTGATAGTCTTCCCCAAAATGCATAACCTCAACCTAATCATAAAAAAAACTCACACCAATTGGCAAACCCATACCATCCATAAAATAAAAGTTTGAAATTCTCCAAAGGTATGAAGGTCAAGAAAGACAAGGAAAGAAAGGGGCACTTTCACAGAGTAGATAAGGTTGAGACAAAACAATTAAGTGTAATGTAGGATCATGGATTGGATTCTAAACCAGGAAAATTATATTAAGGGGAAAATTGGTGAATTTTAATAATGTCTATAACTTAGTTAATAGTTCCAATCTTAATTAACTGATTTTTATAATTGCATTATAGTGTTTTAAAAATTTTTGCAGTAAAAGGTAACTGGTAAGGAATATACAGAAATTCCTTATACTATTTTGTTAATGTTTATTAGTATAATATTACTTCAACAGACAAAGTCTAAAAAAGGAAACTCAGTAGCTTATGGGATAATACCAAGCAACTTAATGTTTGATTAATTAGAATCTTGGCAGAAGAGAGGAAAGAGAATAGGACACAGACACGCGCGCGCGCACACACACACACACACACACGAATCTGTGAAGAAATATAGTTAACAATTTCCTAAATTGATGGAAAACATCAGCCTACAAATCCAAAATGTCCAGCAAAGCCTAAGCAAGTAAAACTTAAAGGGTTATGCATGCATAGCTACATCGCTGTACATAGGACACCGTAGTTAAGTTGTTGAATACCATAGCATCTCAAAGCAGAATAAAATTTATGTTAGGCTTTCTAATTTCTACTGCTAGTCAATATTGTATGGGGAAAATGACAACTCATGTACTTCAAAAATATTCAGAGAGACTGATGAATTCTCTCCGGTAGTTTATTGCACAGCTCCCCAACTATTTGCCAATGTGGGTTGCCTTTTTAAACTCTCATTAGCCGCACAGATTTTTCTAAAGTTACATGGCAGGTAACTTAGTACCATCTTGGTTGCATGCTCCCTACTGTACTTTTCAATGTTTCTTGCATCACAAACTGTGCTTTTTATTACTTAGCTTGAATATTTATAATTGGACAACTGCATGCCACGAAAGACAGAACTTTGCCCAAAGTAAGTTCATTGTTTTGCAAGATCCTTCTTTTTTGAATTTTTGTCATCCAACCCTTGCATAATTTTTCAAAATATGTTTTTATTTATTTCAGAGAGTGGGAGGGAGAGTCAGAAACATGAATGATGAGAGAATCATCTATCAGTTTCCCCCTAACACACATTCACATGGGGGATCTAGCCTGCAACCCAGGCATATGCCCCAACAAGGAATTGAACTGTGACCTCCTAGTTCATAGGTCGACAGTCAACCACTGAGTCACACCAGCCAGGCTCCCCTTGCATCATTCTTACTTTTTTTACTTATATCCTACATCTACTCAATTACCATCTTTTGAAAAATTTTAAATTAACTTAAAAAGTTTTAATTTATTGATTGGTTTTAGAGAGGAGGAGGAAGGGAGAAAGAGAAAGAGCAATTTCTTGTTCCTCTTATTTATGCATTTATTGGTTGATTTTTGTATGTGCCCTGACTGAGGATTAAACCCACAACCTTGGTGTATTGGGATGACACTCTAACCAACTGAGCTACCAATTAACATCTTTTATTTTACTCATTTCAAAGAGTTTTTTAAAATATTAAGAAGAAATAAAACAAAAAGGCAAAAAGTTCAAATAACTGTCATTAATTATGCATATATGACAGATTAATTCCTCTAAATCCATGGAGAAACTGTGAACTTTAGCCCTATTGATATTAAATGAGCTCCCTGAATACTGACACTAATTCAGTCATTATCTACTCCATTGCCTTTAAGATTGTAAATATGCTTAATTACTGACTTTTCAAAAATTATATTTTGCAATTTGTCTTTCTCTTAATATTTCCTAATCTCCTTACTTCTATGTGACTCACCTGTTTGCTTAATTTTGATTTTGCTTTTTGGTGGTTTGACCCATTTATGGTCTATAATTAACATTAGTTTTTACTTTTTAAAATATTTATTATTTTTATTCTGAGATTTTCATTAAATATTCCTTGAACCAGAAAGCCCTCTCCATAATGTAAGAACTTGGCAACTTGACTCTCGATCTCCAGGCAGGCAAAATTCATAATTATAGTGCAAATACACAGAACACATTTTTGACAAATATTAAGGGGAATAGTGTGTGACTCAGCACTTTATGGCAAATGTATGATCAAGTTAAGTACTGCCTCATGCTTTTGCTTGAGTTGCACTTCATTTGCAAATCAGAGCTTAACAATTTATGATACATAAATAGAAAGGTTCAAACTATATTTAGATCTACTGAAAGATGGTCACATCAGGACTATCCTCCGTGAGTAATTTGGGCACTGTCATTTCCTTAGTGGTTTATAGGAAATATGTCAAATTCTTAATTGTTAACTCTATTTTTTGTGGAGATGTGGAAGACTTCAGGAGAAATGAAAATACAAGGTACAGGCATCTCCCCAGCCCTCAGCTTTGACAGGAAAATCCACAGCTATGTGAAGCTGGACTTCTGCCATAAGCAGTCTTGAATAAATAACTCTGAATTTAGGATATATGGACACATTGACATTAAAATGAGGGCTTGAGAGTTGCAAGATTCACTTAAACACCTCAGAATGAAACATGTTTAGTGGTGCTCCCAATTCTCTAATAGATTAATTGGGCCATTGCCTGTCTATATCTAATTTAACCCTAAAGTAATTTGGTTTATTCTGTGTGTTAAAAAAGTATTTAAAGAAAAAAATAATAAATGGTTGTTCATAATGGAATATATTTTCCTAAAATATCATTAATTAGGTATAATTCTACTGTATACAGGCATATGAATTGATTTGTTTTGCTTGATGACAAAATAACATTTTATTGATTCACATTTGTTACATCTACCAGCAATTCTTAATCCTATCTAATAAAGAAGGAATATACTAATTGACCCGCATGCCGCTGCAAAGATGGAGGCACCCACAGCCAACAAGGAGGGAATATGCTAATTGACTGCCCCACCCTCAAAGATGGCAGCACCCTCAGCCAATAAGGAGGGAATATGCTAATTGACTGTCCTGCCCTCAAAGATGGCAGTGCCCACAGCCACAAGATAGTGGTGCCCAGTCCCCTCAGCCCCACTGGGGTGGCAGGCCCAGACGTTCTGCATGCCTGGCTCCAGAGTTGCCCAGTCCCCTCAGCCCCCCAGATGTCAAGGGCTGCCTGAGGCTCAGGTAACCAGGGCCGGCCGAGGCTCGCACTGCCGGCAGTGGCAACAACAAAGGTATGATGGGGCATCACCTTCCCCTAATCGCTAGGTCACCTCCCGCCTCTGAGGGTTCCCAGACTGTGATAGGGGGCAGGCCAGGCTGAGGGACCCCCCTCCAGTGCATGAATTTTTATGCACTGGGCCTCTAGTGTTTATTAAAAACAAAAAGGAAAACAAAGGTGTTACTTTCATTAAAAGATGTATGTAAGGTGAACACTTTTGAGTGTGATGGATATTATTTTAGAATATCTCGATTTTTCTGGCTTTGGTATCCTTGCGGCGATGTGGTTCGAGATTCTCCCCGGGCTCGCTGTCATGGCCGTGTGCTTGCTCATCCCCGGCATTGCCACCATGCACATTCACAAGTTCAGCAATGGGGGCAAGGAAAAAAGGGTAGCCTATTATTCATATCACTGGTCTTTGATGGAAAGAGATAAGCGAGTCTCTGGAGTTAATCATTACTATGTGTCAAAGGGTTTGGAGAATATTGATTAAGGAAGCACTTCCTGGTTAATGAACAATAACTCAGTTTTGCTCATCTACCCCTGCTAGAAGGTTCTGCAGTATATTATATAATGCACAATAAAAGTTAAAAAGTAAAATAAAAAATAAAAAGGAATATCTCATACTCTGGAACTGTCCTGAGCAAATGAAAACATATGGTCCCTTGGGTTTTGGAGGGTATATACGTACTGACTCATCTTTTTGAAAGTAACAAATGTTACCCTCACTAGTGATTAATCAATACAATCAACCATCCTACTCTTAAAAGCAGACCAAAATGTTTTAAATAAAACAAGTACCATGATCCATATTAAATGAGCTTATTAATTTAGCCTTACAAAGGTTTTAAATATTTTTCTCATTTTCTAAGGCTTTTGAAGGCTATTTGGCAATTATTTCTTGGTTTTTAAAGTTAATCATATATTTAGATTTTATTCCAGTAATGAGAAAAAAGATCAAATCTAAGAAAAGTTTAATTTGGATCTAAATCAAATTTATTTACATAGAATAGGAAAAAATATTTGGATGCAAATTTATTTACATGAGATTAGGTGGTATATATATTTTTTAAATAACATAGCTTGTTGTTAGTTCTCTCAAATATTTCTAATGCTCAATGAAGTCCATTGTTGCAGTGATTTTTAGTGTAAGAGGTATCCCAGTAACTCTCTGAAGGTATTTATTTAGCATCACATGCGTTTTTATCTTTGTTCTTTTTCAATTATTGGAAAGATAGTCTGAGGACTAATATTTCATTAGAAAAATCAAGCTGACAGTCATACATTAAGTAAGTCACATCATCCCTCTGATACAGTGGTATAGAGCAGACACTTAGCATTCAGTGTGGTTTCCTATACCCCTTACTCCTACAGTCATTGTGGCTTTTGAGGAGGGAACCACAATAAAATTTCTTCCAAGCTTCTGTATCTAAGTCAACATTTCATAACAACCAAATTTAGTTAAGGTGATTGGCTATTATATTCAGACTTATTGAAATTTGATTTCAAATTCTAGGTTGGAAAATGCTTGCTTTTATCTCAAAACTGTAAAAAGAGGATTGAGTTAAATCAATTATCCTACTAATAAAAGAAAAACATGGTAATTAGCTGTACATCCGCTACCCTTCCCATTGGCTAATCAGGGCGATATGCAAATTAACTGCCAGCCAAGATGGTGGCCGGCAGCCAGGCTACTGACACAAACATGAGGCTTGCTTGCTTCAGTGATGGAGAACTCCAATGTTCCCCACCTGCCACTGCTGGGCTCTGAGCTGCTAAGAAACATTGTTACAAATATAGAAGCTAAACAAAACCCCAGAAACCTGTTTTCAGTCAGCCGGGATCTCAGAGCTGGAGTCGCAACAAAGTTTCAAATACAGAAAGTAAACAAAGCCAGAAACCTGCTTTCAGCAGCGAGGTCTCAGAGCTAAAGCCAGCTCTCAGCTCCAGTGACAGCCATAAATCCAAGAATAAAAAAAAAAAAGGAAAAAAGGCTGAAACTGGTTTGGCTCAGTGGATAGAGCATCGGCCTGCGGATTGAAAGGTCCCAGGTTGGATTCCAGTCAAGGGCATGTACCTGGGTTGCTGGCACTTCCCCAGTGGGGAGTGTGCAGGAAGCAGCTGATCAATGTTTCTCTCTCATAGATGTTTCTAACTCTCTATCTCTCTCCCTTCCTCTCTGTAAAAAATCAATAAAATATATTTTTTAAAAAAAAAGGAAAAAAGGAGCAGTTGGGAGCTTCAGTCACCCGCCAGCCTGAAAACGGCCCTCAGCCCCTCACCCAGACTGGCCAGGCACCCCAGTGGGGACCCCCACCCTGAAGGGGGTGTGACCAGATGCAAAACAGCCATCATCGCCTCATCCAGGCTGGCCAGGCACTCAAGCGGGACCCCCACCCTGATCCAGGACACCCTTCAGGGCAAACCAGCCAGCCCCCACCCATGCACCAGGCCTCTATCCTATATAGTAAAAGGTTAATATGCCTCCCAGCGGAACCACAAGGCCTCCTGGCCCCTGGAGCAGCGTGACACGGGGCAGCGCCCAAACCCCCTGATCGCCCTCCGGCTCTGTATGTGACAGGGGGTGGGGCCACAACCTCCCTATCTGCCCTGCCTTGAGTGTGACAGGGGGTAGTGCCCAACCCCCTGATTGGCCCTGCTCTGTGGGTGACGTGGCGGCACTGCAACCTCCCCATCGACCATGCCTTGAGTGTGGCAGGGGGCGGTGCCCCAACCCCCCAATTGGCCCTACCCTGCGTGTGACTGAGGGTGGCATCACAACCTCTTGATCGGCCCTGCTCTGTGAATGACAGGGGGGAGCTCCCCAACCCCCTGATCAGCCCTGCTCCATGTGTGACAGGGTACGGAGCCCCAACCCCCTTGATGGGCCCTGCTCTGTGCGTGACAGGGGGCAGTGCCTCAACCCCATGATTGGCCGGCTCTGTAGATGACAGGGGTGGCACCACAACCCGCTGATCCGCCCTGCTCTGTGGGTGACAGGGGGTGGCACCGCAACCTCCTCATCCGCCCTGCTCTGTGCATGATAGGGGGCGGCGCCCCAACTCGCCAATTGGCCCTGCTCTGAGCCTAACCAGGGGCTGCGGGGCAGGCACCTAGGGATTGGACTTGCCCTCTGCCACCCGGGAGTGGGCCTAAGCCAGCAGGTCGTTATCTCCCGAGGGGTCCCAGACTGTGAGAGGGCACAAGTGGGGCTGAGGGACAACCCCCCCCACCAGTGCACAAATTTTTGTGCACCAGGCCTCTAGTCTATATATAAAAGCCTAAGTGATTGTTATGACCGGATGACCAGATGACTGCCTGGTAGCTTTGACACTCACTGACCACCTGGGGGCAGATGCTCAATGCAGGAGCTGTCCCCTGGTGGGCAGTGCGCTCCCACAACCAACCTCTTGCGGCCAGCCAACCCCCTGGCCGGCCTGCCCCGATTGGCCTCTCGACCCCAATTGCTGGCCAGGCCGAGGGAACCCACCTGTGCGTGAATTCATGCACCAGGCCTCTAGTTGTTATATGTAACTAGAGGCCTGGTGCATCCATGCACCGGTGGAGTCCCTCAGCCTCGCCTGTGACCTCTTGCAATATGAGACCCCTCAGGGGATGTGGGAGAGCTTTTTTTGGCCCAGTTCCTACAGGCCAGGCCGAGAGACCCCACCACTCTAGTCCTATATAATAAAAGAGTAATATGCAAATCTGCCTAACAGTGGAATGACCAGTTGCTATTATATGCACTGACCACCAGGAAGTAGACACTCAATGCTGGAGCTGCCCCCTGGTGGTCAGTGAACTCCCACAGGGGGAGTACTGCTCAGCCATAAGCCGGTTTCACAGCTGGTGAGCTCAGCGGCGGTGGCAGGAGCCTCTCCCGCATCCACAGAAGCACTAAGGATGGCTGGCTGACAGCTTAGGCTGGCTCTGCCAGGGGGAGTGGTCCTAAGCCATCAGTTGGACATCTGTCAAGGGCTCCTGGACTACGAGAGGGTGCAGGCCATGCTGAAAGACTTCCCCTTTCCCTGAGTTCATGGATTTCATGCACTGGGTCTCCACTATGCATATAAACTCTTTGGTTAATCTCTTCCCGCCGTCCCCCAACCATCCTTCCCTCTGAGATTCGTTAGTCTGTTCCATGTTTCTATGCCTGTGGTTTCTGCTCCTGCATTGAGCGTCTGCCCCCTGGTGGTCAGTGCGCATTATAGCTACTGAACAGTTGGATGGTCAAATGGTTGGACAGTTGGATGGTAGCTTAGGCTTTTATATATATAGATAGGTATATGATATCCCTGAATCTTTCATAATTCATAATTTCATTCTTTAACAGTATTTGAATTGCATAACAATTGATATTCTAGCTCCTGTTATGAGTCCATTGGCCCACTGCAAATACAGGCTGTCCTGGTTCTAATTATATAATTACTAGCGGCCTGCTGCATGAAATTCATGCACATCGAAAGGGAATTAATAGGGGGACATAATTTGGACTCACTATCTAATATCAATAATATGTGAGTGTGAAGCAGTCCACATTTCTGAAATTCAATTACATGAATTTTAGCTATTACTTTGCCAAATAAATGGAATTTACTGATATAATTTAAAAGAGCATTTAGCTTAATATTAAAAACTCTGGCTACCAAGTCAGGTCTGTTTTCAACTTTTTGCCAGTGTTGTAAATTGTTTGTAATATCTGCCCATTTGGGGTTGCATGTCATGGTTATAAATAAATCGGGCTTGCCATACTTCGTTACAATTGCCATAGCATCCTGATATCGCTGCTGCATATTTCTGGAAGTATCATTTTACCAATCAGCACATTGTCATTTTTGGATCTAGATTTGAGATAATCCATCAAACCACTATATTTTTCAACTCTCAACTTAGATTGGTTTGCTTTGATGAAATTTATCCGATTGGCCTCCATTTTTGAATATGAATCCACGATAAACTGTTGAGTTAATTTTCATGCATTTAAAATAGGATTGAACATGTCCCACACAGAGAGATGAAATCCATAATACTGCATTTGTGTGACTCCTGTCCTTACATTTTGTCTAGTATTATTGTCGATTACACTATTGTCTCTGAGTCTAAATTCAATATCTGTTCCCCAGCCTTTTTCACCAAATGGAAGAAGAATAGGCTATGTCATTGCATCTAATGTAAGAAACAGGATATTGATTGTTTCATTTTAGTGGCATTTGGATTATTGGGATCTAGTTTACAATGAATGAGCAAATACCTTTCAAAAGAAGGTTCTCCATCTTCATTTCTGTATATGACAGCAACCTTGGTTACACAGGGAGAATTATATCTACCTGGGTCACTGTTATGATCATATTTAATTGCCATTGTTACTTCTGTGGGAGGAATACCTTTTGCTGCTGCATCAGATTGGGCTTCCTTTTCTACCTCATGTAGCATATTGTACAATTTTGCTAATTCATTTATTTCATGCATGAGGTTGTTGATGTTGATCATGAGTCTTTCTGAGCAGCCCTGGT